GTACAGAAAAATGCATACTGCAATCATTTCAGTCTATTCTAAAATCTTCTAGGGATATTTATCTTACTTTATACTGGAAAGTTAGCATGAAACAATAAGCTTGTGAACTCTTTGCATCTTTGTTGATAAAGTGTTAACAAAAAGGAGTTGTAAGCTTAGTTTCACACAAATAATAAATGGTTTTTTTTTTTTTTTTCCCCATTGATATCTATACCAGCTAGCTCAAGCCTCAAACTGGATGGAAAGTTATGTTCTACACACATGTGCCATATTTATGTCTGTTTAATACACAGGCTAGACATATCTAGACATAACAGAGAAAAATTCAATCTCAAAAAAAAAAAAAAAATGGAGACATGCAACTGGGATATAATTCCAACGACTCTGATAGTTTACCCAAGGATGAATTTGGTCCCACCCTCTTTGCTTCTCTTCTTCTAGAATTCACTTATATAAGCTTGATATTATATAAACTCAATTGGCATTTATCTGGGGTGAGGTCAGTGCACAAGAACCGAATTGAACAGTCAGCCAAGGAGGCTCCTTTCAGAATCTTCCTTCAAGACAAACAACACACCCAGCCCTAGAGACCGAAAGCAACAGACAAGCCGTCCCCGGCTCCCGGGCAGGGCACCGGGAACTTCAGGACCTCGGACAGCGGAAACGGCGGCTCTCGACATACCCTGAGATACGGCAGCAACAGCAACAGCACAACCGAACAACGACCTTTTGTGGGCTTTTTGGGAGGTGGGGGGAGAGGTGAGGAGTAGGTTTTTTTTTTTTAAAAAAAAAAAAAACACTTTGGGCAGTGAATTTATTAATGGGTAGAGAAAGAAAGGGGAAGAGAATTACACTGGCCTTCCCATACGCTCAAAAAAATGGTAAAGCCATCGCTACCCTTAATACTGAATTCTGTGGCAATGAATCTATTTTCTTCTCCCCTCTTCACCTCCCAATGAAACAAACAACAACAAAATAGAAAAAAAAGGCAAAAAATACAGACTGAAGCAGATCTCTTCAATCCATGACTACTTAATGAAGTCAAATGGTAGTTGTAGAGGTTAAGAATTGGCAGAATAATGGCTAGCAAATACATTATGCCTAAAAGCTTTGAAAGATTCAACAAGATCTTTCTCCAGTAAGAGATGCTTCCAAACCGATCAGCCCTGGGAAGGCTTTCCTGACTATTAACTGAGCTGTGGGGCACTCCAACCCCCTAAAGCACATATACAAACAGAGAAAAATCAAGATGTTACCTGCAATTTTCCCCCCTCCCTCGACACTAAAACTAGCCATGCTCCGGATCGGTGCAAGAGGAGGGATGGGCAGACAACGCAGCGCACTGGAACTGAGGATCGTCGTTATTATTAGAAATCAGTGGACAGGGAGAAGCTACAGGGTGCAAGCTCCATCCTAGTGTCCACGCTCGTGCAACCGCCCCGTTCCCTCCCTCAGCCAGCAAAATGCAACGCCTGCTTCCGATGCAGTGGGCCCGGATCGTGTTGCGACTCGCCCCCCACCCCAGCCGCGAGGCGACAGAGAAGGGGGAAGGTAGGAGCAGAAGAAGGGAGATTTTCCGTGCATGCCTTTGCATGGGAGGCGGCTCCGCGCCGGCGAGGTTCCCCCTGGGCAGCCCCTGCGCCCTTGACATGACAGCGGCGATCTGCCTCCTCTCCTCCTCGCTCAGCTGGCTCAGGTCCGCCTCCACTCCGGCCGGGACGAGGCGCTGCAAGGGGGCCGCGGGCCCGCCGCCATCCCCGGCTCCCGCGGCCCCTTCGGGGGAGGGGCCCCGACCCTCGCCCCCTTCCAGGGCCG